TCACCACAGACACACACTCAAACCCACAACATAGCACAACACCAAACCTAGCAACCCATATATCACACAACACACACACAAATAGCAACACACACACACACACATAGACCACAACAGCACACAAATCATGCAACACACACAAACACGTAGCACAACAACACACACAGACACATACACAATAGCACAACGCGCACACACAAACACATAACACACACACACACAGTGCAGCAGCACACAAACACACAAATCTGGGTTTGGATATTTGAATTTGGGTTTTTGAATGTTGGTGTTTAATTTGGGTATTTTTAATTTGGGTGTTTTTAATTTGGCTTTTTTTTTTTTTTTTTTAAATTTTGGTGTTTAATTTAGGTGTTTTTATAGTTATAATGAAATAGGTTTATTACGAAATTTCATTTTTTTAATGTTAGGGTGGATGGAATAGATGTTGAGTTGATTATTATTGAGTATTCATTTTGTAAGAGATTGACCCAATTAAAATTTGAGAATTGGTGTTCTATTGGGTGTTAAATAGAGATTGTGAAATTTTAATTTAAATTTTTTTTTTTTAATTAAGAAATAGGTTTATAGTGTCTTGATTTGATGAATGTTAGAGTTATTTAGATTAAGATTGTGTGTTAATTTATTGTACTTCCATAATTTTAGAGATTGTGTGTTAATTAGTATAAAATAAGTTTTTATAGGGTCTTGATTTGAATGTTTGTGTTTTTAATTTGGGTGTTGAATACAGTTTGTGAAATTTTAATTTATTTTTTTTATTATGAAATTGATTTATAGGTATGATAAAATAGGTTTATTTATGAAATTTCAATTTGTTGAGTTGGGATGGAATGAATATTGAGTTGATTATTATTGAGTGTTCATTTTGTGAAATTTATAGGCAAATTTATTTTCATTTTGCGTGTTGAATAGAGTTTGTGAAATTTAAATTTGATTTTTTTATTTTTTATGAAATAGGTTTATATTGTCTTGATTTGATGAACGATAGGGTTATTTAGATTAAGATTATGTGTCAATTAGTATGCAATAGGTTTTTATAGGATCTTGATTTAGATTAAAGTTTTGTGTGTTAATTGAATGTTGTGTGTTTAATATGGGTGTTGAATATTGTGAAATTTTAATTTATTTTTTTAATTATAAAATAGGTTTATTATGAAATTTCAATTTGGTTTGAATGTTATAGTTTAATTTTTAAGTTTTAATTTAGTGTTAATTTTGGTGTGTTTTGAATGTTATATTTTTTCAAATAAGTTTGATAAGTTTTGTTATAGTTTTGGTGTTTTAGATGTTAAATTGGTTTGAATGTTATAGTTTGAGTATTTTGAATGTTATAGTTTGATTTTTTTTTCCCATAGGGTTTTCATAATAGAGTTTTTATTGAATATTATAGTTAAAATAAGTTTGAATGTTATAGTTTAGGTGTTTTGGATGTTACATTGATTTGAATGTTATAGTTTGATTTTTAATTGAGATTTTTCAGAGTTTTGATAATAAGGATTTAATTGAATGCTATGGTTGTTAGTCGTATGAAATGGGTTTGTTAATTGTATCAATTTGGATGTTAATCTATAATAATAAGATAAAAGTGTTTTTGAATCTCTAAAGTTGGGAAAACACAGTGATATGAATTTACTATATACCTATTTAGTGGGTTGAATTTATGTCCATCTTCGATAGGTTTTTTTTATTTTTATTTTGATAACTACTCTTATATTCCTTGAGTTTTAATTTATTCTTTTACTTATTTAATTTCGGGTATGCCATTGATTTTGTTTATTGGGCTGACATTTGATTCTTATTCATTTTTTGGATTTAGATTGCTTTGGATTGTGCAATAAACGATCAAAGTTGTACGCTGACGAACAAGTGACCGAACACAGTCTAAGTCCCTCTCTCCCTCTCCCTTTATCTTCAACACACACACAATCACACGCACACATAGTACACAACACATTACACACACATGCACAGAGCACAAAAATACAAACGCTACACACAAATCTTTTTAACAATGCACTATTAGCATTACAATTTATATAGGATTTGGATGAAATGGTGCACAAATTGAACATAATAAAAACAACTGAACTTTCTCACCAAAGAGTACGAATAAGGTAACTTACAAATTATTTTTATAAGTTGTGTCGTGTATTAATTTTATAGTTAATAATATTATGTTGTTGTGATTGTCAAATAGTTGTGTTTGTGCAGTATTATGATTAATATTATTTTATTATTGTGATAGTTGGTAAATAATTGTGTTTAGATATGACTATGTTGTGTTTATGCAATATTATGATTAATATCATTACTGATAAGTGTTCATTGATTGATAGTTACCTTGTAGTCTTAAAGTATGCTTTAAATAATACTTTTGATGATACGTAATATAACCACAGGTTGAATAATGGTGATGGTGGGTTTGGGCACTTTGAATAAAAAGTAAGTTCATTAATATACTCATGATCACTAGATTTTTGTTGAGTTTCATGCTCTTCGAACTATTCGTTGAATATGTGTGCTTAGATGAATAATTATGTGTGTGGTTGTTTTTGTGTTGTGTATAAAATTTAACTTGATTGTACTATTGTTATTATGTTTTAGGTTTGGGTTGTGTTTTCTTTAAGTACTTGATGGTACTAATAATTGGCCTTTTTTAAAACAATCAAAATTGTGTATTCCTATTTTTAGGGAAAACTTTCATACTTTGTCAAAATTGTGTAAAAGAACAAAAAAAAAGTTTTGATTAACTATTGTTGATTTTTTTATTCAGCATAATATAATGCTTTTACGAAAATATTTATATTGGTAATACTTGATTGAGCATGTATGCAAAGTGTGGGTGTGTTAAGTATGTAATTTAAGTTGTCAACTTAGTGCGTGTCCATTTTCAATGTCTGATTTTTTTGAGTCCACAACAATGTTTGATTTTTTTGAGTTTACAACAATGTTTGATTTTTTTTGTGAATTATATAGTACCTTTAGACACGGGTTATCCCTATATATAATAATAAGATGCAACCCAAATTGAATCAGTTAGAATTTATAAATACCTAGATGCCACTACTCACACATGAATTTGTGCATGCTCTCCTTAATGTTTATGACCGATCAATTAGATTGAGAATCAACGATGATGTACAATATTTATTTTTCTTTTTTGATTGTGTTCAAGATTAATGTTCACTTTTTTGAAATTACATTGCGCCTTCAAAGAAGATGAAGATGAAGTTGAAGTTGAAGGAAGTTGTTTCTCTCTTTGTGCACATGTGCTTTGTGTGCACAGTTTGCATTTGTTTTGTTTGTTCCATGCTAATTACATATGGTTACGAGGATATGTTTGGTTTGATGTGAATTGACAATTGGGTATGTAATTGAGTTGTGATGTATGGTGATTGTGGCTTAAATAGAATTAAATTGTTGCAGCACGAGGCATTATGATGATTGAATTATAGATTATGAGTTCTATAAATATGTTGAAATTTTCTTAGGCTCCTATTTTTAGAGAAAGTTCTGTCAAAATTTCTACAAAATTAGTGGAGATTAGATTGATTTCAATTTATTTAATTGAAGCAAATGATGTAAAAATTATTTCAAATTGATAGTTTATTTTAGGTTGTAAAGTCCCTTTAGGCACGATAGTATTCTTCAAGTTTTAATTCAATTTTTTATTACATCGTACATTCTGGCACGAGTAATTACTAGTCTATATAATAAAGTAGAGGTGAATTTAAATTTCAAAATTTATCCTGAACTTTTCGCGACTCATCAATTTTGAACTAAAGATAAATTATATCTGATAGTCTATGTTATTTTTAACTTTTTTGTGGCTTAGATTAACTTAAAAATATTGATCTCACGAATAATATTCACTGCTAAATTTTGTTTTCCTGCCCACGTGACTTTCCATTTATGAATCACCAGTAACTTCTCTCAGTCTCCCTAATTCATGCCTATGCTTTTACCTCCTGTCCTTCTCTCTCCCTCTCTATCACTCTCATTAGAAATTCAAAGGATCCCTTTCCATAACCGGTGATCCCCAAATCCTCGTGCCTTTCTCGATTCAATCGTTAATCTCATGCAAATTAATATCCTCTCTCTCCCTTGGTATCAAAGCGAATGATTCCAGCCGTTGCTTTCTCTCCGCTGCTCATCTCTCCCTCTGCTGCTCATACTGCACGGACTCTTTGTTGGAACTCTCTTTTGCTCCGACTGATTCCGATTACATGCTGAAACTCTCTGTTTCTCTCCTTCTCTCTCTTACTTTTTTGCTTCTTTCTCTGTTGCCACTCTCGTTTTTTTCTGCTTCTCTGTCCTAGAACACTCACATCGCATAATGCTCATAAGGTGTTCGATCAAATGCCACAGAGGTGTACCATACACAAAGCACTCACAGCGCATTGCGCACACATTCGGTGCACACAGAGCACACACTATTTATCATAGAACACACACATATGAGAACTTAATCAAAGCTTTTTTTTAAAAAAAAAAAAAGGAAGAAAGGGGGAAAAACTGGTGGAAAGTACGACTCAAAAGAAACTTGAACCATGTTCACTTTATCAAAATAGAGAAATGAAAGTAGGGTTGGTAAATCATTCAAGCCTTTAATGCAAAAGATGAAGTCTCATACCCGCAGTCACCACCACCACAGTCCATCGAATAGTATATTTCAGATCATTTCTTTTAGTTCTTTGATTTATTGTTATTGTATTGAATTTGTTGCTTGATATCTATTCGTATTGACCTAAAGGTAGGGGTATTTTTTCCTTTTGCTTAATGGCTTGATTCATGGGTTGTTTCTGCCATGGAGTTTGTGTTAATTTTTTGCTTGATCACTTGAAATGGGTTGAATCGAAAGGAGAGCAAACATTCAATCTAATTACATATAAAAAAATTGAAAGGAGAGCAAAAATGCATGCTTAGTACATGATAAATGAAAGAAAATAAATCCTAAACATGCAGCTCCTAAAAGAGCATAGTCAGCCAGAAAATGCAACTGAGGTGTAGGCAGCATCAAAAACCAGCTGCAAGAGAGTGTAATTGAGCTGATACTTGGAGCCGAGAGAACCAATAGCCTGAGCTAAATGACTGAGCTGAGAAGAACCAGCTAAAAGAAGGAGAGGACTGATAAGCCTTGAGTTGTGAGCTGAGCTAAAATAAGCAATAAACATGGCAGCCATCGAGCTAAGAGACCATCTGATAAGGCCAGATGGAAAGGCAAATTTGATAGGCCGAGTCAGATCCGATAAGCAGGTGAGGAGGCGCCTTGAAAATGCAAAGGCGGCAGGGAAAGAATCTGAACAGAGTCTTGTACCAAAGAACCAATCCTCTGAACAAACCTTTTCATTTTCAGCAATAGAGTCTGACTGAGGGTCAGTAGAATCCCATCCGAGAATAACCTGCCTTTTCCTTCCCGTGTAGAAAATGAGGAACCATCCTAAAGCCTTCATAGTAGCAATGAAGCGAAAAAGAGTGCAGCAAGAGAAGGACGACCAGCGTAAGCCTAAATTCCCAAAGACTTGCATAGTAATCGTCCTATGAAATTCTCTTTTGTAGCACAGAACAGCAGAAACCTCCTGTGGAATTCCAACAGACGAAGCAGAACCAAGATCAGACACCAAATGAAGACCCAAGAATACCAAAGGCTCAGACATTGATTCTGAGGAATAAGAGAAGATGCACAGGTGCCTACTGTACCCTCTTCCATCTTAGAGTCTTTGCTTTCAGAAATATACCTCATTTTAAGGGATGAATGTGATATGCTTAAAATGTGATATGCACTTTATCCATGTATTCAAGACTTTCTGCTTATACTTGATGAATGCTCCCATAAACTGTAAAGAACTTAGAATAAGAAGAGGCAGAAAACCTCTTACAAATGGCCTTTAACCTTTGAAGATTTGTCATGTCACTCCATCTACAAACTTGAAATCTGATCTGTCCTCTTCAGTCTAAGTCTTAAATTTCTGATTTGCCTTCTATCCTGCAACATCAGAAGTCTAGTGGCAGTGGGTAGACTATCTGGAGACGAGTAGGTTGAAGAGACTTTAGTTAAAGCTCCCTGGTTTGCCAATGAGTCTGCCACAGTGTTACCCTCATGATAAGAATGCTGAATTTGATAGTCCAAACCATAAAGGATAGAATGAATTTGATAGAAGATATTCCTGAATGTCCAAGAAGCCTGACTGTTATTTTTGACCATATCCACCAGTAATTTAGAATCAGATTCAATGAGGAATGAATAATCCAACAATCCAAAATCTCTTATCAGTCGTAAACCATCCAATAAAGCCCTTATCTCTGCCTCCATATTTGAACAATGAACATAAAAATAAGACCCTGCCAAAACAAATTGCCCAGTAGAGTTTCGTAGGATGACCCCTCCTCCTAACATACCTGGGTTCCCTTTTGAAGCTCCATCTATATTCAGTTTCATCATTCCCTCATTTGGGAACCCCAAGCTATCCATTTAACTTGTTTAAGAATTGTATTGGACCTTCTCACATTAATGACATCGAATAAAACCAAGTCTTTCTCTGAATCCAACACCTTAGGATTGATATTGTGTACCTGCAGTTTCTAGAAATGTATAATGTACTTTAGCAGAGAAGAAGAATGAGTATTCTGATTTTCAAAAAGCCTTCTACACCTTTCCCTCCATAACAGCCAGTAGACCAGTAGAGATAAACCTCTCAACAAATAGTGCGCCATAGAAGATTTCTTGTAAATTCTAATCATCCTTATAACCTTGTAAGGGGCTCTTCTTGAGAGATAAGCTGAATGCCCAAAAACTCAGATAACCTCCCCCAAATCGAAGTTGCATATTGACAATTAATGAAGTTATGAGCTGCCGATTCACAATCTTTCAAGCAAAAAACACATTTACTAGCCAAAGCAACTCCCATAGACTGAAATACAGAGTCCATAGGTAAAGCATTCCGCAATANTAAGCAGAGAAGAAGAATGAGTATTTTGATTTTCAAAAGGCCTCCTACACCTTTCCTTCCATATCTGCCAGTAGACCAGTAGAGATAAACCTCTCAACAAATAGTGCACCATAGAAGATTTCTTAAAAATTCTGATCATCCTCATAAACCTTGTAATGGGCCCTTCTTGGGAGATGAGCTGAATGCCCAAAAGCTCAGATAACCTCCCCCAAATCGAAGTTGCATATTGACAATTAATGAAGATATGAGCTGCCGATTCACAATCTTTCAAGCAAAAAACACATTTACTAGCCAAAGCAACTCCCATAGACTGAAATACAGAGTCCATAGGTAAAGCATTCCGCAATATTTTCCAACCAATAAGCTGTGCACTTGGAGGTGCCACCTGTTTCCATATATTCGAAGCCTGAACATTTTGTTGACCTGCACTTCATATTAGGTTCCATGCTGATTTAATGGTGAAATTCCCCCTTGTAGTATGCTATCAAATAAGCTGATCCCACCTCTCCGTCAATTCAATTTGCAAAGCAATCACATTCTGTATAAGCTGATCATCCATATGCTGTCTCACTCTATTAAAATCCCATCTGCCTTGAACAAGTACCTGTGATAGACAAGGAAAATTCAAAGGAGCAGAAGAGGCTCTATGAATTAGTGGCCCCAATTGTGACCAGTTATCACACCAGAAATCTACTTCATCCCCTCTACCTACCAACTTCAGCGAATTATTAACAAACTCCTCAAACCATGGATATAGCATTCTGTAAACTTTAGAATAACTATGTCTTGAACTCCTCAACAAATGGTCCTTATTACAATACTTATCCATAAAGAATTTAGCCCACAAAGACTTCCCATTAAGCAAACCCCATACCTGCTTCATTCTAAATGCCTTTTGAACCTCTTCAAACTTACGAAATCCCAAACCTCCTTCATCCTTGGGCATGTTAATATCCTTCCATAAAGACTTAATGAAGTTATCAAATGAATTGGCATTGAATTTAAAACTGACTGTATCAAAACTATCCTCCCCATATTTGACAGGAGTTTAGTATACCAACCCTGTAGCCTTGCTTGAAACTTCTGGAGTAGTTCCTGAAAATAGATAAGTTTAGCTCTTCCTTTAATAATTAGACATCCTAAATAGGACAAAGGACACTTTTTAAGAGGAATGTTCGCCACCCGTGAAAGCATATTCTGTCGAGCATGTGGAATTTTATCTGAGCAATACAATGAACTCTTTCCTTTATTCACCTTCTGTCCAGACGCCTCTTCATACCTCCCAACAAACTTCAACAAATTCATCATTGACTGTTTATTCCCTTTTAAAAAGATAAGTGTGTCATCTGCAAAAAGCAAGTGACTGAGAAATCTTGTCCCTGTTCCTGTGTGTTAGTATTTAATAAGCCCTTTATGAAAGATCTCCACCATACCCCTGCTTAGAACCTCCTCTGCCAGAATAAATAGACTAGGAGATATTGGGTCTTCTGGAAAAATCCGTGCCTAACTCCATTGATAGTCAAAGTAACAAACTGATTATGAAGACAGTTACTAATGACACTCTGGAATGCAGTAGAAAAACCAAAACTATTCAAAGTTTTTAGTAAAAAATCCCACTCTAACCTGTCAAATGCTTTCATCATATCCAATTTTACAATAATATTACCTGCCTCCACCTTCCTATCCAATTCATTCACCATAAACTGAGCCATAGCAGTGCTATCCCCAATATTCCTTCCTTTGACAAACCCATGTTGCTCTGAAATAAGTTTAGGAAGAATTTCCCCAAGTCTAGTAGCTAGGATCTTAGTGAATACCTTATACACAAAATTGTATAAATTTATCGGTCGAAATTCATCAAAAGAAGAAGGATTTTCCTTCTTTTGTATAAGGGATAACAATGTAGCATTCACTGATCTGGGAATATCTCCCCCTTGAATGAAAAAATTAGCAGCAGATAATAAATCCATCTTAATTACCTCCCATGCAGTCTGAAAAAATTGTCCCGAAAAGCCATTCGGACCTGGAGCGTTATGAATAGACATTGCAAAAACAGTCTCCATATGCTCCTCCAATGTAACATTGGATATTAAAGAAGCATTGTCTTCCTCAGTCACTATACTGGGAATAACGTTAAATGGCTCCTCCTCCATAACATGTGTTTCAGTAGAATATAGAGCTGAGTAGTAATTCACTGCACAGTCCGCAATTTCTTGATCATCCTCCAACCAAATATCATTGGAATCTTTAATTCTAGAAACTCTATTCCTTGTTGCTTTACCTTTAGCCAGAACATGAAACAATTTAGTATTCCTTTCTCCCTCCATAGCCCATTTCACATTAGCTCTCTGCTTCCAAAATATCTCCTCAATCCTCAAAGCCTGTTCCAGTTCTTTCCTCACTTCCAGCAAAGCCATATAATTGGCCTCTGTATCTAATCTTTCCACCTGCAATTCATCCTGAACCAGATTCCTCTCCAACCGTTTTATATTCTCAAAAACATTACCAAAAGTGTCCTTATTCCACATCTTAATTGAAACTTCAAAGTGCTAATTTTCAAAGAGAGATTCTTAATAGTGTTAGACGAATAATTTGCAGGCCAATAAAACTCTACTAACTTCAGAAATCCAGGATGCTCAATCCACATGTTTTGAAATTTCAAATAAGAAACTCTTACTTGAGAGTCTATCTCCGAAAATTTGGTAATTAAATGGCAATGATCAAATTGCACTATGCTAGCATGTTCAATCACAGTACTTACGAATCTACTCCTCCATTCCACACTCACCAATGCCCTATCCAGTCTCTGCCACATTCGAGTTCTACCTTGATGGTTATTGCACCATGTAAAAGTAGATCCTACATACCCACAATCTTGCCAACCCATAGTGCTTATAAAATCAGTAAATTCACTCATAATTGACACACTTGGAATAGCACCACCTTTTCTTTCTGTTGAAGAGACGATTGTATTGAAGTCCCCAACCACCATCCAAGGAACATTAAAAAGTGGTAGCCCAGACAAATGGGCCCATAATTCTCTTCTTTGTATATACTCACATTTAGCATAGACAAAAGGGATAAAAAAAAAAAGGCATTGAACCCATGTATGACACCTCCAATGTTAGAACTTGCTCATGGACATACTTTAAGGAAACCTTTATTCTATGATCCCAAATCACCCATATGTACTTTTCAGCTAATGGATTAGCTAAATATGATGAAAACCGCAAATTACTACATAAGCCATGCATTTTAGAAGGAAGTAACTTCGGCTCCAAAAGACAGACCAAAGAAATATCATGCATTTTCACTAACTTCTTGAGCCTCATCCTGGAAGCCTCTTCATTTGCCCCCCTCACATTCCATGTAATCGTATTAATCATTAAAAGGTTTTAGAGTGAGTAATCTTTCTAGACCTTGATCTAGTAACCATACCTACTTCAGAAAGCTCTTGCCTTTGCTTTGTATCAGAATCNTCCCAACAGAGAACGGAATAAAACCATCCAATCTATTTCTTTCTAAACCGCATTGATATAGCCTTTGAAGTTTGCCAATGTCTGTCAGGATGTTACCTGTGAGTTGGTTGTCTAACATTTCTAGATAACTTAAGCGAATGAGATGTCCAATACCAGTTGAGATGTTTCCATCTATATAATTGTGTTGAAGATCGATTAATTGGAGCTTCGTTGACAAGTTGCTGATGGATTCAGGTAGTGCGCCACCAAACTTATTAAAGCTCATAGTCAACTTTCTTAAAAAGGTGGCATTTGTTAGAGAAGAGAGAACATGTAAGTCATCGAGTCCACCACTTCCCATATTATTATAGTCAAACAATACAACCCCAAACTTATGTAACTTTCCCCTGGTAAGCACTTTTCTAGTAAAATTATTATCATTTATTTGAAAAAATTCCATGTTTGAGGCATTGGCTATTGAATTAGTGATTAATCTAGTAAATTGGTTAGCACCTATGCCAAGAATTCCAAGATTAGGAAAATTGATGCCTATATTTGAGGGAAGGCTGCCATGGATGTTATATTCCCCCTGCCAGAGAAGAGAGATTGAAGATTGATGGAGGGATGGCACTAGACAATCAATTTGTGCCAAGTGCAATCACTATTAGGTTGGCTATTTGGCCAAGAAAATGGGGGATACTTCCACCAAAATTATTTAAGGCTACATAAAGCAAGTTAAGAGATGTTAAGTTAGCAAAAGAAGGAGGAATATTTTCGGTTAGATCATTTTGTGGGATTATAAGTTCTTTGAGCTGTGACCATGAGCCTAGCTCTTCAGGAACTGCCCCTACTAGCCTTTTGTAACCAATATTGAAGGAAATAAGACTAGATAAGTGGGCAGGAATTTTGCCATTGAACGAGTTATTATGGAGGGCTAAAATTTTCAATCTTCACCACATCTCCAATGTGAAGCTTCTTCTCCCATTTTAGATTTCCCACACACACAACCTCCCTTTTACCCCTCTCTCTCTCTCTCTTAGATTGTAGAATTCATAGATTTCACAGTCACTATATGCACACAGTCATACACATACACAATCAAATAAATGCACACACACACATAGTCATACACACACACACACATAGTCATACACACACACACACAGTTGATACATTCACACAAATAGTCAAATACACACATAATCAATACATACACACATAGTCNTTTGTATCAGAATCCAATTCTTGAGAATCATTTACCCCTCCTTCATCTCCCCTACTAGTAAGCTCATCTTCCGAATAAAACCCCTTATCTGGTGGCTCCGTAGTACGATGCAGTCTACGTTCATCATCCATAATGATCAATGTACCCTCTTGACATGCGTATTGGTGTTCCACCAAAAAAGTAGAGTCCAATGGGAGCAAGCATTGCTGATTCAAAAGACTCTGCCNTCTAATAACTATGGTTATAAGTGACAAATATAAGTTTTGTCACTAATACCTCCTAATTCATAAAAATTAGTGATAATTGGTTATGGGGTCACTGAATAGTTACAATTAGATTGACTATTTAGTGNTGATTCAAAAGACTCTGCCCCAACTCCACATCCCCTCTATTATTTTCTTCTCGTCTCTGTAATTCTGTCATAGCATCCTGCTTCTCGAGTGACTTAAACTCTATATGCTCAACATATTCGTTATCCAGTTGCTTCGTTCCTTCCCCTCCAAGCGTATCCACTATTTCATTGTCCACTTCCTTCTCTCCCTCCTCTCCAGTTATGTCAATAATTTCTTTTCCAACATTCAGTTTATCTGTCGTATTATTATCTTTACCCGAGTGGCCCCCATTTTCGAATGAGTTGTTACACCAATTCTTGTCTGGGCTATTTTCTTTTTCAGCTTCCAAAGATCCTTCCCCATTAATTTCGGTGTTACTGCTACCCCGTTTGGTAGTAGAATCTTTCAAATAGCCTCCCTTATTCTGTTGAACCCATATCCCTTTATTCTTGGTAGTCAAATTGGTTTGCCTCAAATTATTCATATCCTTTCTAAACCCAAACCCTCTTTCCTTAGCTTGCATTATGGAATTTCCAGCCTGCGCACCTTGTTTCCTTTTCCCTTTAGCTTTTGTTACCTTTTCTGTCTGCATATCTGTCAACATAGGATTCTTTCCTTTATCATCAATTTCCAAATCAGGAACCTTTTTTCTTCGACGGTCATCTTCTCCATGGCCCTGCTTCCTGCAAGATTTACCGTACCTTTTGTTTTTTTCATAAATAATATTCTGCCACCTTGCCCTTTCCTCTCCCATATCCAACCAAATCTTGGATGGATTGTTCGGCAGTACGTTAACCTCCACACAAACTCTAGCCACCCCAGGTCTAGCCATAGATAACGTTGATTGATCATAAGTAAGGGTGTCAAACGTGTCGTGTTAAACGGTTACGTGTTAGGTTAAACGGATGACAGGTGAAAAACATATAAACCCGTATACGACACGTTTAATAAAAAGGTAAAGAATTGAAACACGAACACAAACCGTTTAATAAACGGGTAACACGACACGACTCATTTAACACATCTAATTTCAAACGGGTTAACCCATTTACTTGTTTACTACCCGTTTGACCAATTTAACACGATAAAACACCCATTTAACTATTTATTTGTTTATTTAAAAATGTTATATAACTTTATAAAACTAACAAACTACCATAAATAAATATGATATTTAGAGATACTTTATACCATATCACACCATATTATAAAATACAAATTACAATCCAAAATATCTAAATTTCACTAACAATCATATTATAAATCATAAATACAATTCGAAATAACAATCATATAACAAACCACAATATCAAACAATCACAAATTTCATGATTCACAAAATCTCGTGAAAGATGTCGAATCTCTACCTCCACGACAACGAACATATTTAACAACCAAATTCTCATGCCCTACACAAATTAAAATAAAATATTATATAATATTAATAATTAAATAGACTCATAACTAGATAAATACCAAAAACTTGACATTGCCTCTCTTTAGTCATGATCAATGATAGAGATAGTTGTACCAGTTGATGTTTGTGTTGTTGGAGCTCCAAGTAACTAAGATTTATGCCCGACATCAGAAACTATAATGTATTCGGAAGAATCCATCTGTTTAAAACAAATACGAAAGAATTAAAAACACATACACTGTAGATATATCTAAGAAGAAATAGATAGACTTGTAGATTATAATTGTTTATGATGGGACTTTTCTGAAATACTCCATGATGAAGACACGTGTCTTCGGTATTTACCAAAACACTTACTAAGATCAAGCACCATCGGCGCATAAAGGTCCTCACCCCCGAGGTACTCGTCATATAGGATCATGGCATTCAGTACGTTTTACAACCAACACGTAGCCTCGGTCTTATATGGTACCTCGGTCGGTATCCCTCCCTCGGTTCTGAGATGAGCCTTTCCTCGGTGCCGAGGTGTACCCCGTCCTGGACGCCTCCTCTACTCCAGGATAAGCTATTGACGTACAGGTCATTAGCCTAGGCTAGTCTAGGCTATTCATCATGACCTCGTCTTACACAATCAGTATCAGGACGTACTGGAATGCAGGGGCCACAGCCAATGGGGGATGGACGCGTGACATACGATATCACATCAAAAACAGAAAAGCCGCATGCCGTTGCTGACACGCGACTTGGGAACACAAACGATTAATTGCACCACTCCCTTGACGAGACGGCATTCAATGCAGTAAGGCTTGAAAATGAAAGGCAATAAATGCTCCTAATACAGAGCATTTATTGCATCGTCCCCGAGAGGAGTATATTGTACCGTCGGCATCCCGATTAAGAAGAGAAGACATTCCTCATCAGAATCAGTGCGCACATTGCCTGTACCTAATGATTACCTACTGACTACACTGACAGCAATCATGAGCTTTTGAGGTATAAATACTCCTTGCAAAAGGCAAGACGGGTATGCAACAAAAAACTCTTTACTACAATATACACTCAGTGTTTTCTCCTTTCTCTCTCTTTCTCAAAGACTGACTAGATTGTCGGAGGGGATACGCCAGAAAACACTCCGGCGCCCTTCTAACTTGTTCTTCTTTGTTCCAGGAACCTCTTTCAGCCTTACTGGATCGTTCTTCCGCTCCCCCAGGGTCTCCCGTTGCCGTTCCAGGTTACCACCGGACCTCGCAGGCTGTTCCAAGCAGCGTGGTTGGTCACTCAACTGGCTCACTCGAGTTCACCAAGGGAGAGANAATGGATCGTTCTTTCGCTCCCCTAGGGTCTCCCGTTGCCGTTCCAGGTTACCACCAGACCTCGCAGGCTGTTCCAAGCAGCGTGGTTAGTCACTCAACTGGCTCACTCGAGTTCACCAAGGGAGAGATCTGTTCTCGTTTTTTATATTGTGCAGGATCTTGCACGCACAATCTGGCGCCGTCTGTGGGAAACGACTAGTTTTCCTAGTTTTTTCTCTATAAAGAACAGTGACCATGATGAACACTCGACAGAAAGGGAAAGGACCCCACCAAAGGAGTCTCGAGTTACAAGTTCCCTATCATCACGGAGGGAGGGATCACACCAATATGAATAAAAGTGTCTCTACTCGGTCAAGAGGGGTTACCCCTCAAACCAGTATGGGAATCAGGTCAGGGGGATCAGTCCCCTTGGCTCGTCAGCTGGCGGAGGTGATTGAAGAAAAGTTTGACGATAGATTACGACAGCTGAAAAAGGACAATGTAAACGTCCTAAGCTGGCTCAACGAGTTTGTCGCCTATGGGGAAGGGTCGAGGGATTCATTCCTTTCTCGTGGGCTTCCCGCCCGGGAGGCGGAAACGAAGGATCTAAGAAACCACCTAAACAACAAAGCAGAAAGCTCTAGGGCCCCAAAGCGACCCAGAGCCGGCGAGCATCATCATGACAACCATTCAAGGAAAGCAAGGCCATTGGCCCTGGACGACCTCCGGCGAGGTTTGTCTAGACGGAGGAAGGGAGATGAATCCGAGGAGGACTCAACCCAATCCACACGACGCCCAGGAAATGAGGGGCTTACCGATGAACTCAAGGACTTCAAAAGGCATCCCGTCAGGAAAAAAATTGATCTTAGAGCCCGGTTAGACTCCAGGAGAAAGGGTAAGACTGTCCAGGATGAGGCCGAGGACAAAGTCATACAAACACCCTTTACGAGGGAGATCGGTGAAATGGAGGTTTCAAGAAAGTTTGTCGTGTCGCGGTTCAAAATTTATGACGGGCGGTCCGATCCTGAAGCCCATGTCAGGCAATACAAGCAGATGATGTCCCTCTATCATTCNATGATCTTCATGCATATGTCACAATATTTATTCTATTTCATTCAACCTTATTTTCTTGAACAACACTTTGTAGTGGACACGCCTTTAACCTGAGACAAATAAATGCAACATATATTGGGTGTAAGCTAATAAGATGCTCCTCAATACACATGAAACATAGGTATAAAACACATAGTCAAAATAGTTATAGGTCTAAACTCATATTAATAAAGTATCTTNTTATAAGGAGGGAATTCGAGACTCTTCGCCAGTACGCCATCTGATACTGGGAAGAGGTTAATGAGGTAGAAGGCTGCTCGGAGGTCATGGCAGCAGCATCTTTCCGGCTCGGCTNTTATAAATCACAGTATATAACAAACATTTCATGTATACATATCAACTGAGGAAATGTACAAATTGTAGCTACCACATCAAAAACCTATACAATCACAACTCATTACTATATTTCAATTAAAAAGGGTTTCGACCCACATTTATATTGGTTTGAAACTAAGCAGAGTTTATGCGAACTCTATTTTGAGAGGNAAAAGCAGCAAAGACCGAGCCCTCCAATCTAAGAGAAAAGAGAAGGAACGGAAAGATATTCCCCGAAAGGGATTGCTACCCCCTCCAGGGGGTCCGTCCAAAGGAATTNCTCTATTTTGAGAGATTTGTAGAATTGAAGTCAAGTCTTAAGCATGGCAAAGACTAATACCTTTTCACACACCACCCCTCAAGGTTCGAACCCACACCTCCCAGTTAAGAGATGAGCCATTAGCCATTCAAACTAACCCACAATGGTTTTATCTTATGATTGTTGGGTGTCATAGCGTTTGAAANTTACACTGTGTTTAAGGAACCCATCTTCAAGCTGCTCCATAAAATCAAGCACGAGTCGTTCTTTAAATGGCCGCCCAGGATGTAGAGCAACCCCTTCACCCGTGATCAAAATGTTAGGTGTTCCTATCACCGGAATTTCGGGCATCGCACCGAAAGCTGCCGGGTGTTCAAATCGTTCTTGGAAAGATTGGTCCGAGACGGATATTTGAAAGAGTACATAGAGCCCAGGCCAGAAGAGAGACAAGCCCTTGCCCCGACCGAGGAGCCGGACAACATCATAAATGTCATTCATATATGTCCCTTGGATCGCCCCACGTTCAAGGAACTCGAGTCCGACCTCAAAAGGGTAGCTTTTACGNCATTTTGTAAGACAGTGCTGAGCCAATACCTCTCCATGATTATATTTGAACTCCCATACTTCCTCCCCGTGTGCATTCAATTCCCATGATTTTGTTTTTGATGATCAACAACTTGGCTACAATTTCACTGGTGTCCAACCGTTCACTTGGAGTTGCTTCTGAACACGTAAGTCCAACTCCAAGTACAGAANAAGGTCAGGACAGGTGAGCTTGGCATTACATTCTCCGACGCGGATTTGACAGGCGTAGTGACTCCTCATAACGACGCCCTTGTCTTNGAAACTATGAGCATGACTCTTATCCTGAGGTTGGGGATTTGTGCTCGTCTCCCCCACTTCTTTGTGCTGAAGAAGCCTTGGTTCAACAATATTTGGTACTTGTTTTGCGAAGCCATACTAACATAATTATGAAGGTTCAAACTATCATCAAACATCTTGTTAGTGGGTCTCTTTCCTATAAACATTTCCAATAACAGGATGTCATAGCTATACACATCCCCATGAGTTGATGCCTCACTCCCCATGCCATACTATGAAATTTAAATTTCATAATGTCAAAATAAATAAGATGGAAAGAATATCAAACAATAATTCATTAACATGCAAGTAATCTATATTATAAATCTGGATAGACTAAACTGTTTACTTTTTGCTCAAGAAGTAAATTGCATCTTAAAACTTGTACTACCAGCACTTAGAGGCACATTTGGCCAATGTTCATCCGAAAAAATGGTGTTACAATTTTTCCAATTTATTTCCTATGTGAACACAATAATTGCTAATTTTTAATTGAAGCATTATGTTATTAAGGCATCTAATAGACTTAAATCGTTATAGACAAAACAACCACTAGTCTAAATCATTGATATTAACAATGTGCACTTATGGCAAACACAAAGAAAAAAACTAATTACCAAATCAATGATATGGAAATAGAGAGGCTTATCCAAAATCCTAGTTCAGACATCNAAGATTTTGATAGACTCTGGAAGTTCCTCGGAGGTGATGTACTCTGAAACTTTAAAATGGATGGGCTTGGCCCCAAAGACCTCACCAAAGTCAGGACACCCCTCATCGGATTCAACGGCTCGTTCGCCCTGCCCGTGGGGAAAATCACATTGCCAGTTGTCACAGGTCCCTTCGTCATCGACACCGAGTTTGTCGTGATCGATACGGACTCTCCCTACAACGTGATTATGGGGCGAACATGGCTGCATGCGTTGGGAGCAGTGCACTCCACTTTCCACCAGAAATTAAAATTCGCCACGCCAGAGGGTATCATGGAGATCGGGGGGGACCAAGCGTCCGCGAAAAATTATTTTTATTCAGCCGTTCGAGCCGGGGCGTTCAGCCAGGAGAAGGGGCGAGCACCGGAAGAGATTATGGAAAAATAGCAATTACAGTCCGGACGTCCAGGAATGGATGACCCCCGGATAGACCCAACTGAGCGGTCAGTAGAAGACCTCTGGAAGGTGCCCTTGGTAGAGGGAGAAGAAGAGAGGTATTTCTTAGTTGGGACCTCGATGCCCATAGCCGAACATGAGGAGATGATCGAGTTCCTAAGGGGAAATACAGACGTGTTCGCCTGGAACGAAATGGAAATGACAGGGGTAGACCCCGAGATAATCACACACAGGCTGCATGTTAACCCGTCGCACAAGCCAGTCAAACAGAGGCCACGACGCATGGCCCCGCATCACACCAGCGCGGTCAACGAGGAAATCGACAAACTCCTGAAGGCCGACGCCATTCGAGAGATACAGTTCCCAGAATAGCTGTCTAATACGGTGTGCGCAAAGAAGAAAGGGGGAAAATGGCGTGTTTGCGTAGACTTTACAGATCTAAACAAGGCATGTCCCAAGGACAACTACCCCCTGCCAAAGGTGGACCAGCTGGTAGATGCTACTGCCGGATATGAACGAATGGACTTCTTGGATGCCCGAGCAGAATATCATCAGATCCCTCTCTATCCCCCGGATCAGGAAAAGACGGCGTTTATNACTCTCCCTACAACGTGATTATGGGCACGAACATGGCTGCATGCGTTGGGAGCGGTGCACTCCACTTTCCACCAGAAATTAAAATTCGCCACGCCAGAGGATATCATGGAGATCCGGGGGGGACCAAGCGTCCGCGAAAAATTATTTTTATTCAGCCGTTCGAGCCAGGGCGTTCAGCCAGGAGAAGGGGCGAGCACCGGAAGAGATTATGGAAAAATAGCAATTACAGTCCGGGCGTCCAGGAATGGATGACCCCCGGATAGACCCAACTGAGCGGTCGGTAGAAGACCTCCGGAAGGTGCCCTTGGTAGAGGGAGAAGAAGAGAGGTATTTCTTAGTTGGGACCTCGATGCCCATAGCCGAACATGAGGAGATGATCGAGTTCCTAAGGGGAAATACAGACGTGTTCGCCTGGAACGAAATGGAAATGACAGGGGTAGACCCCGAGATAATCACACACAGGCTGCATGTTAACCCGTCGCACAAGCCAGTCAAACAGAGGCCACGACGCATGGCCCCGCATCACACCAGCGCGGTCAACGAGGAAATCGACAAACTCCTGAAGGCCGACGCCATTCGAGAGATACAGTTCCCAGAATAGCTGTCTAATACGGTGTGCGCAAAGAAGAAAGGGGGAAAATGGCGTGTTTGCGTAGACTTTACAGATCTAAACAAGGCATGTCCCAAGGACAACTACCCCCTGCCAAAGGTGGACCAGCTGGTAGATGCTACTGCCGGATATGAACGAATGGACTTCTTGGATGCCCGAGCAGAATATCATCAGATCCCTCTCTATCCCCCGGATCAGGAAAAGACGGCGTTTATCACTCCGAAGGGAGTTTACTGTTACAAAGTGATGTCGTTTGGACTAAAGAACGCCGGGGCAACATACCAAAGACTGATGAATCGGATGTTCAAAAAGCATATCGGCAACACCATGGAGGTCTACATAGACGATATGCTGGTAAAGAGCAAACGGAGTTGTGATCATCTGACAGATTTGGCGGATACCTTCTCCACCCTGAGGGAGTATGGGCTGAAGCTGAATGCGACAAAATACGTTTTCGGAGTGGAATCAGGTAAATTCCTCGGATACCTGGTTAGTCAACGAGGAATCGAAGCCAATCCAGATCAGATTCAAGCGATCCTGGACATCCGCAGCCCCCGCACTGTCCGAGAAGTCCAGAAACTCACAGGGATGCTGGCTGCACTTAACCGTTTCGTCTCACGCTCCTCGGACAAATGCAAACCCTTTTTCGGAGCAATCAAGAGTGCTGGGAAGAATATGTGGAGCCGGGGGTGCGAGAACGCCCTGGCTGGAATCAAGGAATACCTAAGGACTCTTCAAATCTTATCCGTCCCCATCCAGGGGGAGATGCTGTTCTTGTACCTGGCAGTATCTGAGTTTGCGGTAAGCGGGGTACTTATCCGTGAGCATGAGCACCGCCAGAAGCCGATTTATTATATAAGCAAGGCGCTCCTGGACGCAGAGACAAGATATCTACCCCTGGAGAAACTGACTCTATCCCTGGTCACCACTGCAAGGAAACTGCGAAATTATTTCCAGGCGCACCCAATCACTGTCCTTACCGATCAGCCCTTGAAAGCGATCTTGAGGAAAGCAGAACTCTCCGAAAGGATTTTCAAGTGGGCAGTAGAGTTGGGGGAGCACGACATTCATTTCAAACCCCGAACTGCGATAAAAGGTCAAATATTGGCAGACTTCATAGCTGAGTTTTTGGGGGAGTATCCCGTTTTAGAAGGATCGCCTCCTCCCTGACTTAGCGTCTCCAACGAATTGTGAAGGATCGTCATGGCTTTTGTGTGTGGACGGTTCGTCAAATAGTAAGGGGTCCGAAATCGGTATCTTGCTGACCTCTCCAGATGGGATTATTGCGGAACAGGCCGTTCGGCTGGGATTCAAGGCTTCGAATAATAAAGCTGAATACGAGGCCCTCATCTCAGGACTTCGGTTAGCGGAGGCAACTGGAGTTACCGATTTAATCGTGCATTGTGATTCTATGCTAGTAGTCAATCAAGTTAACGGAGAGTTTGNATGCTATAAAAGAAAAAAGAGTACAAGCAAAAAGAAAAAAGGGGCTTTTATCTGGCCCCAGGCATCTCCACAACATCAGCCGAGGGCGAGTCAGCATAAAAAAGTTGAGAAGCTTCTGGAGCAGGCAGAAGGAGAGGTNATGACTGTAATTCTAAGGTTCGGCCGGATTGAAATCAAACAAGTGTCCCGAGACAAGAACACACATGCCGACGCCCTGGCTTGTCTAGCCTCGGCGGTGGACTCCTCCCAGTCGCGCAGGATCACCATTGAATACCTTTCCGCATCCTGCATAGATCATGCTCTCGAGGCAATGGTCATCCAGGACGCACACAAGCCGCCCAGTTGNCCACAGAGAAACCTTGAGCAACATGAGGATCAGGGGCATGGTCCGGCGGGGCCTCTTCGAACAAGTNCGCATCCTGCATAGATCATGCTCTCGAGGCAATGGTCATCCAGGACGCACACAAGCCGCCCAGTTGGATTGATCTCTTTCTCAGGTTCCTCACAACAGGAGATCTCCCGGAGTGTTCAAAGGAAGCAAGGAAGATAAAACTCAAAGCTCCAAGATTTTGGGTCTCTCCGGATCAGAAACTGTATCANCCGATATTTGCACCGGCGTTGGGATCTCATCTTCGGCAGCAATCTCTGCTTCGGCTCGTTCCATCTCTGCCGAGGGCACGTACTTGTGCATCTGGAAGAGCGGGGAGTCTGACGGGATTCCAGCANGAGTGGGTAGAGGCGGAGCCGTTGACTCATATCCGCGACATAGATGCCAAATAGTTCGTCTGGGAGAACATAATCACCAGGTTTGGGATTCCCCGGGCACTGGTGTCGGATAACGGGACTCAATTCACCGGCGGACGTTTCAAGTCTTTCTGTGAGCAATTCGGGATCCGTAATTTCTACTCCACCCTTGCCTATCCTCAAGCCAACGGGCATGCAGAGGCCTCCAACAAGACAATTATCAATGGGATCAAGAAGAGGTTGGAGAAAGNCTGTCCTTCGCCGCAGAGAGTCGCAG